GCAGTCTTACTACAAAGATGGAGGAAAGATGAGCGCCTGGTCACATTTTGCAAGCTGCAAACTTAGCCAAACTGAAACCAGGTATGCCAACATAGAGAGGGAATGCCTAGCCATACACTGGGCAGTAGAGTATTTTAAATATTATCTGATGGGCTGGGAGTTCCTGGTGGTGACGGATCATGACCCACTGCAGTGGTTAACCAAAACACAGATAGAGAACACCTGCATAACCCACTGGGCACTCGCTCTTCAACCTTTCAAGTTCACGGTAATGCACCGCCCCAGCAAAGATAACCTTGTGGCGGATTTCCTCTCTAGATATATCAGCTCGGAGGATCCAGCTGAGAAGGCACGCCAAGCACATGAGAGGAAACACCAGACAACTTGGGATCCCCAGCAAGATGTCAAAATGCCACAAGGCAGCTTAAGGGGGGAGGTATGTGGTGGTAAGTCCCCACAGGCGCTAAGGGTGCTGGGGGCATCCCCAGGGTGAACAAGCAGGCCCCCTGTGCCCTGGTAAACTTACCTCCGGGAGCGGAGCCAAAGACACAGCTGCAGCTGCATGAGCTGGCATTATGCCAGCTCTTCAAACAGCTGTTTCCTGGGTGGGGCAGTGCCTGGCTAACTGCAGCAGCTGGTGCCACTGCCACAGGAAATTCAAAAACCCCACTGGAAACCAGCAGGGTGAGAGAAGGAGAGAACCAGTGGGGAGCTCGCCAAGCAGGCGGTCACTTTGAAGGCTGGTAATAGCAGCACTGCAGGCTCTGCCACCGCATTCAAAGCAGGGGAAGCAGCATCCTGCTTCAGGCTGGGTATGGTCTTTCCCCAACCACCTTAATTACAAAGCTCACAGGAGTGTCCCTCTCCCTTGGTGGGAGAAGGACGCCAGAGAACGGGAGCTCATCCCTCTGGGATAAGGGTCTGAGGCTCCCGGCGCCACAACATACAGGCAACTGACCAGTGCTGAAGCTGACGCCGGACCCCGTTAAAAGGGGGGCTTGCTGGGAATCGTGGAACCATGAGCAGAACACCAGAGTGGTTGGCAAGTGGACGGGGTATAGGGGAGACAAAGCCCCGAGGAACACTGCAGCCCTGTTGTGAGTACCCCCATCATCAGGTCACTTGGGAAGAAGAACACCACTGAACCCCTCCTTTCTTCAGGTAACAGGAAGTCGTGGCAAGTGAGTTGGGGGACCCCAAGGGGGTGGTGTGGTACTCACAGCGTCCACTAGAGATGCCACAGGGCATTTGATAACAGTCTTCAAATACCTATATGGTGGTTATTAAGAGGATGCTGACCAACTATTCTGTGTGGCCACCAGGTACAGAAAATGGAACAATGGTATTAAATTGCACCAAGGGAAATTTTGCTTCCTATTGTTATAGGAATCACAACTTGTGGTAGAGGTAACTTTTATTAGACCAACTAGATTTTTGCACAGACCCCTATATGTGTCCCTTTTAGACCAAGCTTCAGGCACAGGCCTTTGATATAAGATCAGAATGAAGCATGTGTGCATGAGCATGTGTGTATGTAAAGGCCCCAGACTTAGAAGCATTTACTTATAAAATGGATACGTCACACAGAGAAAAGTAGACCTCTGCATAGTGAAATTAGCAGCTACATTAGGGGCATCCCACTGAAATAAATGATTATCTCATTTACTAATGACCTGTGAGAAACAAAAATCCGTATGCAACTCATTTCTTAGCTACTGCTCTGCAAAGCAGCACAATCTGTTAACTGAATGCATTAAATATCTAATTCAATTAACTCTCTAACAAGCCTCAGAAAACCTATTGAGAGCACTTTGCTTGATTATAAACATTGGGCCAAAGTAACAGACCTATTGATTTGGTCAACTTCAACTTATTTTCTCCACCCAATTTAATTTGTGTAGAACAAAACCTAAGTTTTAGCAGGGTCTCCCATTCCACCCTCAAGGGAAATAACTTAAAGTGACTCTGGGTACAGGGTTGGTATGTAAAGGGTCAAAGAAAGCATTTATTATGTAGCAGCTATGGACACAGGTCACATTATAAATGCAAATATGCTTTCTAGCGCAACTATTACACAGTGTTACTGACACGGTCATCTAGAATAAACAGATTGCTCCAAAGGGAAATAAACTAATTGTTCTGTATATTAAGTGTGGCCCCAAACAGATTCAGTCTTATTTCTTTGCAGTTTATCACATAATGAACATACAGTGGTGACCTCTTCCTCTAGCTTCTACTTTAGTTTCGTCTTTTCACCTTACAGCATAAACCCTTCAATACCAGTGCTGTAACCTCAACTACTAGTCTGTCACATTTCTGTTACCCTAATAATGTCCGGTTTCACTTCCTGCACCAGGAATTCAAAATCAACAATTTTTTTTGCCCAACCTCCTCACATGAGTGTCAAAACATTTCAGTTGTTAATTCCTGACTACACCCAGTTAGGTAGATTAGGCATAGTCTTTTCACTATTGCCTCCCTGGCTACTGTTCTCATCAATATTATTTCCTTTCCCTCGCTATCCATTCTCCTGCCCAGTGATATATATATATTTTATCTAGTGCCACAGCCTTGGAGCCAAATGATTAAACCTGCTCCAAGTATATGACCATATGATATGGCATTCAAAGTACAAACAGCAGCCAGATCTGTGCTACCAGTGTAACCACTCTTTGGAGTTGACCCAGTAGTAGCAACTGTGGAAATATTTCCCTTATAAAGACAGACCCCTATATATGATCCTTTTAGACCAGGAGTAAGGCACAGGCCTTTGATATACCAGTGGATCTTAAATACAAAAGTGACACTGAAAACATTTACCTTATTTTCTTGGGGAAAAAAAAGAGAGAGAAGTCATTTCTACCTTATTTTACTGATATGTTCAAATATTTATATTTGTGATGAACAGCTTTCCTTTGCAGGAACTACACCAGTTAGATCCTGTTATATCATTTAGGTGTCTTATAAACGTCTGTTATTTTATCAGGTATGGAAGTCAATGTGCAACTGCCCAGGTTTCTTAAATACAGGTTTAAAAAAAATCATTCATTCTAGTGCTTCTTCTTCTGACATTTCAATTTCTGACTGCTCATGGGCAAGGAAAGGAGTTTTCAAAAAAAATATTGAGAGCTGACATGGCATAAAGAGATAATGATATAATGCATCAAAAATAAGGTTTACACTGTGCCAGCTGTTATTATACTTACCTGAGGTGAATTTGTATAATTAAAAGAAAAAAATGAACATTATCATGTTGAGAAGCTAATGAAGCATTCAATTAACTTTGTCTATATCTCAAGACACATCAAAAGCCCTAGCTAAAGAAAAAATATTATTAAATATCCAGTCTGAAGATCTCAGAGCTGAGAACTGCTTATACTTTATGGAAGACAAAAATGGTGCAAGAGAAAAAAAAAGCCAAATACAAACTCCATTTTCATATATACATTTGTACATAATAATGTAGTTAAGCACCACAACAGATCACAGGTATAATCAGTCTTAGTAGAAAATACACTAATTATGTTACATATGAACAGAAAGATTTGCCATGCAAGACAACTTATGGTTAGATATTTGCAGGACTGAAATAGCAAAGGATACTGTCCTGGGGATAATGAGAAGCAGGACCAGGAAACCCCGCCTGCGGGGCTCAGCACTGAAAAAGACACCAAAATGGAGGAAAAAAGGCAAAACATTTACTTACCTGCAGGAGAAGCAACGCTGGAATGCCGAAAGGAAAAGCCCACGCAGTTTAAAAGTTGTGCCTTTATGTGATTAAGGCCAGCAGGTGACATCACAAGGACGTACCAGCTGACAAGGATAAAAGCAGCTGCCGGCAACAGGGAGGAGAGAGTGAGTGAGGAGATGGAGCCTGTCTGCGCTGGCAAAGGACGGAGCCAGTGTGATCAGGGATCGCCCGGACGGCGAACGGCAGCAGAGGCTGCAAAGGATCTCCCCACCTGGGGTATTGAAATTGAGCCCCAAAAGGGGACGAGTATTTGGGGCGACTCACCCCTAAAACTGCTGGGGACGCACGCTGGTGGAGCCATTGAACCACAGCACGACAGGTGCAGTGAAACAGAGGGAGAGGTTGAAGCTGACCCCGAGGGAACGGGAGTCTCCCTGCATGATCGCTCCCAGGTACCAGGTTGGGGAGCCGGGCTGGGGGCAGCAAGGATAAGGGGACCCCAAAGGACCAGCATCGAAGGAGCACTACCAAGCATGGGCAGGAGGGCTTAGACAGCCAGCCAGTAGAACGCTGGACTGGAAGGTCCCTTGGGGCTTTCTTCTATATTTTTTTCTTCTTTTCTTCATTTTATTTTCTTTACCCCTGCCCAACAGGACAGGGGCACCCCCCCACCCCCCCCGTTGGCTCCAGGAGTAGAGCTGACCCGCTCAAGGGGGTTCCAGATCAAGGGCCTGAGGCAACTGACCATCCTTCCCCAAGGAGTAGGGGGGATATTGCCTAGGGCAATAAGGAGTGATGATACCACAGAGCACGCGCAAGAAACATCCATACCGGAGGGTTCCATTCCAAGACCAGGCGTCCTGCCAGAGGCTGGTATAAGGTTGGGGTGTAGGGGAGGTAAAGCCCCACAAACATCCTGCAAGCAGAGTCGTCATCCCTGAGGGGAACTTCGAGGCTGAACCCCCCATTGATTTAACATTCAAAGACATGGCAGGCGAGTTCAGGGAAAGCCAGAGGGACAACCAAAGCCCATCGTGGGGAACCCACAAAGCCAGAGAGCAGACATCCTCTACTGCCTGTGCCAAGGCGGCGCACGAGCGGGCATTCGAGGCCAGGCAGGAGCAGATACAGGCTAACTGTTGAAAAGCATTGACCTCTTAGAAATGTAGTATTCAAGCTAGTGGTTGCTCTTCTGTAGGACAGGGGTGTCAAACTCATCTGGCTATGTAGACAGGATAGGACTTGTTCAGATCGCTGTACCCAGAAAGGACCCTCTATAAACTGGGCAGACAGTTAGGGGGAGACTTACCCTTCTGCGTAATCTGTCCCTTTCTTCCCGGATAGCATTCATGGTAGCCTTGGTCCTGTTCAGCTCCTCCTCTTTGCTGCACAGCATGGCAGTGAGGCTCTCATTCTCTTCCCTCAAGCCAGCCAGCTCCTTTTCCCATCGAGATCTTTCTTCAGAGAAATTTGGGTAAAGGTCCCGTCCTAGTACACCTTCTATTTCCTCTACTGTCTGCAAAAACAAAGTGACACTAAAATAAAAAGGAGCAAGACAACAGGTTTTGAAGAGAGACCGTTAGCACATTAATCACCACTCTGTAATGATGTTAAAGGAGATACGTAAATTATATGTATGGTGTATGCCCCCACATACAGAATTAACGCATTTAAATTTGTACCTTTTGTTTAGTTTAACAAAAAATATTTTAAATTGAAGCTAAAATTATAGTATTTTATAATCTCCCCACTGTACAGCACCATAAGCACACTGACAGAAAAGGGGTGCTTTATAAACAAAATCACCATCTCATTTACATACATACATATAAACAATGCTATACAGTTTGCATTGACACAGGAACATTTCCTCTGAGGATCTCCAAGTATTTCCAGTGCATTGAGTAAGCCTCACCATAGGTAAGTGAAGTGCCTATTTAGCAAGTAAAACAACAGAAAGACATTTCCAGTTCGTGCCTGGCCCTTCAGCAGACATGCAGGGTAGGACAAAACCCGAAGACCTTCTCTTTACTCTAGCAGGCTTTGCTTCAGGGACAACTGCATCTCCACATGTGAGGGTGGCAGAAGGATGTTTCTTTTTATGCATCTGCAGGGACACCCTGTCCGCTTTGGGGAAATATGAGATAAGAGAAGGAACCTTAGCCAGGCATCTTGCAGGGAAAGGTTTCATTATTCATTAAAATGGTGCAGCCTTTACAGCCCCTATGTACGTAATGGCCCTAGGAAGGAACGGTGCACAGAGCCTTACACATCTTCCTCCTTGTCTGGACTGTATTTATTTCAAAGACACAAATAACACACTATGGTTGCCAACTGTCCTTGCTTTGGAAGAAGATGATCTGACTAGCAGTTTCTTTCTCTTGGTATGGGGTCACATTTCTCCTTCATATGTGCTTGTAATAGGTTCACAACTATAAACCTATTGACCCATACCGGTATGGATCAAATATCAAAATATGCTATTTGTTAGCAGGTGCCTACCCTCATTTACTGATTAGCAATCCCTTGTAATTGTTCTGCAACAAAAAAGCTGCAATCCTTCATTTATTATTTGTACCAAAATCTACAGGTCTCCAATAATCATATGCAGGAGACAAGACAGGCCATTTCAACACAACTTAACGCTTCAAGGAACATTTAAAATTTTGGATGCATGAATGGATTTCATTCTTGAAATGTGAAGAAGGGGAAATAAAACTCCTTAGAGACAGAGCACAGTAAAAGAGGGTATTGGAGAGTCTCTTGATAGTGAAACCAATATACTGGAAAGCCAGTCAAGGAGTGAAATCTCTTATTTGGAATAAGTTTCACATTTACAATTAAATCTACTTACTGGCAGTGGTTTAATATGCAACAAATCTGACACGTATTCTCTTTGTCAGCATCGCTAATTTGTTCTGATGCCCCTTTCAAACTAGTTTTGCCGCAGGAAGAAAAGGTGAAAGAGCAAAAATGATCAGTAAGAAAAGGAAAAGATTCCACACTCTTTACCCAAAGACCTCTTTTGGAAAAGAAACATAATAGGTTACATGTACCCACCTCTAACACTGACACTCATCCCGCTGCTCTGACAGGCACTATGACAGCAACTATGGATATAAATTAACTAAATCCAAATATAATCCTGACCTTAAACTCCCACAGTCTGATGAGACTGACTTCCATTTGCTGACTAAACAGTGGTTCTGGGTCTCTGGATGCTTGGATGCTTTGCCATAGCTCTGGTTTGGTGACTAGCACACCATGGTATTTGTGACAATGAATAAAAGTTAATTGGGACACAAAATACCTGTGTAACTACTGCATTACTGATTTTTCCTTCCACTCATTAATTAAACAGTGTTACAACAAGTTTGACTGTGTACAGTGATACATCAAAGGTACATCCAGGATCTAGCTTCATGCACTGTAATTAGACCCAGGAGCTGATGATCTGAGCACAGAAGTGGATGCCAGGAACACCTTAATTCCAGTCCTTGCTCTGACACTGCTTCCTGTGGTATCAGACAAAACATAAATTCTCCCCACCTCAGTTTTTCTCAATACCTTATGTCACAAAGGTGTGGCATAGAGATAATAGACAAAAACTTTAACAGATGTTTTAATCTTCACAGCTTCATAAGTGCTAGGTATCCATTACTTTGATAGTTATTTGATGTTCTAAATATCTTGAGCATTAGTCAACCTGCTCTATGTAAAGTTCTTAAACAAATGTTACTCTTACAATAACACAGATAGATGGGCAATCTGTTCATTTCAAGGTCTTGTATGGTTTGTAAAGCAGGAAACTGCAACTTGTGCAAGCTACAGGTTTTGTTTAGGTCAAACACTTACCAGCAACAGTATTAAAATGAAGATGAAATCTAATCAGCAAAGGAGGAGGACACAGTATTTCTACATATGTGGGCCTGCAGCCAGGAATATGGCTGTAAGTTAAAGCACAGGATCAGGATTCCCGGGCCCTGTTCGTGTTTCTGCCTTCTTCTAGGTGCTCTCATCTAATACCTCTCAAAGAAAAGAGGCACAAAACGGGCCTGGGGTCAGAGAAGCCAGTCTCCAGGCTCTGCATATATATTAACTGTACGTGCACTCTTAACTTGTTTCTGCCTTTGTAGGATTACATCCAAGGCAGTTTCTTCATCATCTTCTGAAAAGCCTGTGACCCCCTGGCTGCTATTATGATTCTAGCACTAACAACCCAAGGCTACGGCAAACAGGAAAGTATTTGCCTCCCCTATCCCTAGCTCTAAGTTAGTTATGCAAACAAATCATGTGGAGACAGGAGAACCAACTGCTGCCACTTACTTACACTGTAAACATCTGACTACTGTTTCACTCAGTAGAGCAGGGGTGTCAAAGATATGGCTGACAGGCTGGATTCAGCCTGTCAGCCAATCCGTGGTGCTGCCTGTTGCTCTAGTACGTGTCCCACATGCAGCATGTGTCTGTCCCAGTCTTCTGCTTGCTGTGTGCAGTATACACGGGAAGCTGGTGAGCAAACAGGACCAGTCCAGGGCATGTGATGGCTCTAGCATAGAGGGCTGGTCTGTGGGCCTGATTCTAGACAGCTTGATACCCCTGCAGCAAAGGATAGTTACCAGCGTTAAGCAAGCTAAAGAGTGTTCAAAGGCAGCTTCTGCATCTTAATCTGCCTCCTACCCCACTGAATCTACTTGCCGCACTTTCTGCATGAGCTCTCCAGTAGGTAGGTAAGAAAAGGCACATCAGTCTTTAAAGAACAATCTTGGTAACTGAAGATGTTTAATCCCAGTGCTCCATAAATACTGGATTCACAATTAAAAGCCCTAGTCCCAATTTTGAAAGCATTTCAAGAAACTCTTCCAAGATGCCTAATGGATTATCTTGCCCTTCCTTCTCATTCTCTCCCTCTTCACCTCCATCAGTGATCACTTCCCCAGACAACTACATTTTTTCTGCTAGAAGTACCAAACTCTGTCTTGAAGGTGACACCCAGAGGGAGGCAGACCATTGCCATTAGCAGTCCAAAGGCTATGAACTCACTTGAGAAGGTTAGAATGGCTACAGGCCTCCTTTGTTTCTGTAAGGCTTTCAGTTTAGCTCGCCCACAGCCACAATATAAACAAAGACAGAAAGGGAAGGAGATAGAACCTGGACGAAGAAGAAATAAGAAAATATTGCCTGAAACAATTAAACTAGATCACACAGTTTTACACTGCGATTGAAATAAACCTTACAAAGTGCTCGGATACTATAGAAGACAATCACTTTGTAAGCAACAGATTACATAGAGAAGTGTGGGAAGTCTTAGAAAAGCAATCAAATAAAATTTAGGCCATTCCAGACAGTAAGTTTTTAAATGTTTGATAAATAAGTGTGAGTCTGGTCACTTATACACTTTATAACTGACAATTCAGTAACCTGAGGAGTCAACGGGAGAAGAACATATTGGCTAAGGACAGACATTACACATAAACTGGTTTAATTGATCAGAAACTGGTTTAAACCTGTAACAGAACAGATGTTCAGTGCACATAAACCAGTTTGAAAATGGCTGAAACCCGTTTGAGCATGAGTGACTGGTGCCTCCTGAACCTGAGGGGCACCCACAGAAGCCGTCAGCAGTGGCAGCCCTGTCAGGGGGAGCACCAGCCCTACCAACAGCATCAGTGTTACACACTGGGGGGACACCGGCCCTGTCATGGGGGGCACGTGCAACCCCTACCAATCGCCTATGGGTTTGAGATAAACCTGGCTGAATGTAGTATTAGACTTAACTGATTTGGCTCAAACCTGTTTATGCAATGTCTGTCCCAGACCCGTTGCTAGTTTAAGTTAAATCAGACTCCCTCAGCATCCCAGCATGCTCTCTGGGCTGGGTGGGTCTCCACAGCAGAACTGGCCCCTCCCCTCTGCTCCCTGGCTGCAGCTCTGGCAGAGGCTGCAGGTATAGCGGCA